CTTGAGAATTTCAGTAACTTTTGACAGGAGTTTTTATGTTTTTTGTATTGTAGGCTTAGGCCAAAACGCCTTTTTCCGGCACTGATGTGAACAAGGCGTTTCAGCCTAAGCCTATAATTATATAACAAATACACTCTGAACAAATTCCAGTAAAAAAGTGTTGGAATTCTCAGTTATCAGCAAAATGTTCGTTTTTGTTGCTGAAATGTGTTTCTAAGTTGAAACAAAAACTACAGTTTCCGATATTTCCGATCGGTTTTCAAAATTAAGTCTGGTTGGGACCGTTGTCGTACCCTTGGAACCGTTGTCGGAACGTTGGGACCGTTTTCGGGACATTGGGACCGTTGTCGGAACAATAGGACCGTTGTCGATACAATGGGACCGTTGTCGCAATTCGTTGGGACCGGCGGTCCGATGATAGGACCGACGGTCCCGCTTTGGAACCGATCTTCCCGGAAAGAGCCGAAGATTCTAGAAAATGAAAGATTGGAATATAATTATGTTATTTAAAAAATTGTTCTTTCCAGTTTCAAATTCGCGCCCCAGTGAATGATAGATTTCACTTCTGATTTTTTTTCCATTGCCTAAGTATCAAACGTACAACGATAAGATAAATGTTCAATTAGAAATTATTTAACTTCGTTTAACCTAAAAGTTTTACTGAGGCGCGATTTCTAACAATGGGTTCTGGATCTTTGTGATTTCGCGAAGGGCACACAGTAACTTTTAACTTTGAGCCATTTTTTTTGGATCGTGGCAAAGATATGAAAAGAAAGTTGTCGACTGATAAATTGTTTATCATAATATCGTCAGTATTTTATCAGTTGACACATTTTTGATATCTCTTCTAGGAGCCGAGATAATTGAGCTTAATCTTGACAGTGTTAGGGCTCTTCTTTCACAGGTTTTACAGCGATAAGTTTTTTGACATAACATTTTCGAATCACGCGTTATCGGGCTTCTTCCGGATTGACTTTTTAAAGTTAGGTCCGAGATCTCGAAGTTGTGGTATTCCTTACCGGACATCTAATCAAATTTGAACAAGCTTATTTTTCTGAAGATCTGGAATTTTTCAACCAATATAAATTTTTGAATATTTTTCTGATGTTAAGCCATTTCTGTGCAGACATGTTTTGTGTGGGTGCCCTCCATCACGAGCAGCAGCTAAGCAATCAAAACTTGTATAGGTGTGACATTTCCGATCGACTCCAATAGAATCCCTGTATAAAATCCGCCCTTATTTTTCATATGTTCTCAATTTGAACATGTTGATTATTCTATTTCTAATTGCTTCATGCACTTCCCACGTTGTCGGAACTGTTAGCGAAACTACTAGACAAGCAGTGCAGGATGCGTTGTTTGAAGCTCTGCAAACTTTGAACTTGGTGACAGAGCCATCGGTTTCGGATGGATCAGTTGTTGATTCACAAGTTGCGAATGAAGATTCAAAAAAGATGCAGTTCAATGGAGAAGTTTTGGAGTTGGCTACTCAGATATTGGTCCAAAAGTACGGTGTTGGAATTTTGGAAGAAGCAAATGAGGTACTCCAGGAAATGGCTGGAAATGTCGGTTCATCCGAGGAAAATAATGATTCCTAAAGTTTGTATTTTTTAAGGGATTCTAGTTTTGAGATAAAAGTTTAGTTTTATAATAATGCTTTGAATTTGATCACAGGCTTACAAAATTTTCCAGTAACTCCTATCAAAATTTTCAGATCTGATTTGTTTTTGAGATTTCAAAAAAATGCATGAGAATGTGTCCATCGTTTTCAAAAAACCCAAAACTGAAATCATTGATCTCGAAACCTTAAAAATGACAATACCGTAAACCTGCAATAGAAGGACCACCGTGACGAGCACCTCATCTTACTTTCTGACCAACCCGACCTTTGGCTGATCTACAATCAATTGACGTAGTTCATCAGTATATAAGGAAATAGTATCCACAGAATCATCAGAATCATCACTCCGAGGAACGCACCATCATCATCTTCCAGCCTCTGCCAGGATCACCGTCCTCAAGTGCCTGCCGCTTCCTCCACTCAAGCCACAGAGAAAGATCCAGCTGTTTCGTCATCCAGAAGCATCGCTCCTCCTTCGTCCTCAGACAACTTCACGAGCATGAAGCCTAGTCAGTGCCCTCTGTGTTGATCTCAATAAACCTAATAAGCCTTTTATCCTTGTACTCCAACACAGGGCTCACCACCCTATGTGTCGGAACAAGACATAAAAACATTATCAACTGATAAATTGTTTTTCAGGTTATCACAAGAATTTTATCAGTAAATATATTTTTATATCTCCAATACAAACCTAGATAATTGAGCTCAAACTTGACAGTCTGAGACGCTCTTATCCAAGTTTTACCGTGCGCTTTAAGCATTGGGATTAGTATAGTAGTAGCTCCAACCACATTCTAAAACAGAAGAAATGCTTTGGATTCCAATTTTTAATTTTTGTTTTTAAGAGAAAAGTGAGGAGCGGAGCAACGAACTAGTAAAAAAGTAGATTAAATTGCGCCGAAGGCGCACCAGCGGCGCAGCAAACAAGCTGGTAAATACTACCATCTTAAAAATATCCTTTCAAATTTATGTGCTTCGAAATAAGTTCCGTACCCTTTCGTAGTTTCTCAACGATTTATTCTTTCAAATTGAAAAATAAATCAAAATACTAAAAATTACAGACACAAAACTTTGTACAATACAATTGAGAATAACATCATGAAAAATGATGAAATGGCACGAGAACCCGTATTACGATATTTCCATGGATTATGTGAGTACGACGACGAGTATTGGAGACGTTTGGCAATATAGGATGAGGCGTATTCTCGAGAGCCAAAAGGTGATGAGAAGCAGTCCTCCGAGTTACATTTTTCTGTGGCACAAAAACACCAGTGTTCAGTGATGTCGAACTGGAAACAGTGAAAATTATAAATATCGTTAAACTTGTAATAGAAGGGCCCTTACGCAGTAAAGTTTGAGCTCAGTTATCTCAATTCCTATCCGTGATATCAAAAATGTGTCAGCAGATATAACACTTTCGATATTGTTATAAACAATTTATTAGTTAGCACCTGTTTTATTTCATTGGCAGAAACCGAGAAAAATTGTCCCAACGTTGAAATGTAGGGGGCACTTCTAATACTGGTTTTACGGTAACTACTTTTCAAAAATAAAATAAACTTTTACCTGATCAAAGTCGTGTGGGAGATACTCTCCAACATGTGACGGTCTAGAATGAGCTCCGAGACCGAGGTGAAGATGTTGATCGTCCGTTAAAAAACTTGCAGAGCATCCGCGACCAACACCAAGTACAGTCGTATGACCGGTTTCTTTGTTGGTTCCATTCAAATAAAATACAAAACATGTTGAGTGACAATTTTGGTAGAGATCGGAGATGTAGTCTCTGAAATCACCGAAACTTCTTAATACATGAATTAGATTTTGGGCCCGGCGCCACGTGGATTTACCTGCTTGTGCATTCTGGATCGCTGGTCGAAATATCATAGTTTCTTTTTAAGAAGAAATGCCGCCATTGCTGAAAATCATGAGGTCACCTAGATTATATATTAATTTTTTCAGAAAATAGGCTCACCCAAACAATAAAGTCATTGGCACAAGAGTAGCACTTAATAGCACTGCTAGTGTGCCACGTAGCAAGAATACCGAGAAGTATTAGTAGCCGAATCAGCGGAGATGTTGCCCTCCAAAAGAGCATTGGAGCATAGCCAGAGATGTCTGAAAATTGAGGAAATTTGTTGGAATGAATTCAGGTGTTTCGAAATTTGATCTTTGAAGTTTTGTGACTTGCAAAAAGTGAATCGAGTTAAGTGAAAAAAAAACAGCTACTGGAAAAGAGAAGTACCCAAAGTAGGGGATAGTGATGGAAGAGCAGGAAGAGAAGAAAATAAAAAACATAGCGATTAAATAAGGAGAGTATTAGAACAAACGGCACGGATAGGGTTGGGAGAGAGAAGAGTATAATTGCATTTTGGGAGCCGTCGTCTCGGTCTCATCAACGCCTTTTTTGTATGGTGACAACAGAGAATAGAATTTTTCTATTTTTTAAAGGTTGGTTTTTTAGATATTGAACTTTTAAAAATAAATTATGAAGATTGGAAAGATTCGGAGAAACCTTTTTTTTTTTGAATAGGCTGAACTTTTTTTCAAAAAAGTCTGGATAAAAAACCCTGCTACATTTTTTTCCACAAATTGAAAACTAAGTTTGGTTGGTATAAAAAACAAGATTAAAAAAATGTTAAGGTCCTCTATACAAAGCCCCGTTTGGCCAGTATGTTGGAAAAAAAAATCGTAGAAAACAATTTGGGCGGTCCATCACCCTCAAGTGGATTGATGACCAAGAGCACTTGACTCAAATAATGCGTTTTTCAGTGAGATGTTTTACCCATATTCATACTCGAAAATAGTTTCTCGCCACCTAATTTCCTGGATTGGGCATGCTAAAATAAACGAAAACGCGTTTCATAAAGATGTCTTGGAAATTATAGGATGTACTTGACACGCCAGTTTGCCGAGCAATGGGGGTACAACAACTACTATGAAAACGAATGCGGTTGGGAATATGAGGACTCGGAGAAAATATGTATTGGAGGTCGCGAGATGTCGGGAGGATAAGTAGAGGTTATGATTTATCGGGTTAAATATTTCAAATAATAATTTTTTTGAAAAGAGGGAGCAGTTTGGAGAGCTTATATTGGCAAACAGATTGAAAAAGTACAATAACAAACAATCAGCTTCAACGAAATCTAAATCTTAAAACCAGAAAGATTCGATCACTGAAAAACCACTTCACAGAGAACATACAGAACCGGTCAATAAAATATACCAAAGCATATTTTCCAGTTGATTTTTGTCATTCTGATCATTTTCAGGACTCTAGAACTCGGCTGTCAAAAATTGAAAGCTTTGCATTTACAGAATTTTTTGAAAGTTCCTAGTTTTTCAGCTATCTGCCAGTTTTTGAAACACCCCATTTTGGCCTGTTTTTGCACTGAAAAGCGGAAAAAACAGATGGATTTTTTTGTATTTTGGTTAAATGATTTTCCAAACCTTAACTTTTTAGAATCTGTCTTCTTTCCCAGAAATTCGAAATTTCTATGTTTCATATATCAAAATCAATAAACTTCGAAAACAACTGTTCATCAACAGACTTTTTAAAACAGGTAAATCGTAAAACCTGTAATAGAAGGGCCACCCCACTTTCAAATTTAATTTTAATTATGGAGGCCCTTCTATTATATGTTTTACGGTACTTTCCCAGGATCTCAAAGAACAACGTTAACATAAAAACAGACTTCTTGAAACAGGTATGTGAAAATACCTAACTTTACTAATAGAGATGTACAAGTATTTGTGACGAATAAGACATAAGAATGAGAAAAAGGGGAAACGAATCGGGTCTCTTCACACACGGGCGCCGTGAAGCGGAACATGATAGGAGAAGATGGAGTAGATTCGGGGGCCAGTTAGAACAGAAAAAAGAAGACTTGCTCCCTTCCATTTAGGAGCAGCACAGAAAATGTTCATGCTCGGACTTGTCCAAACGTTATGTGGCGTTTTGATAGAATTGAAAAAGACATGTCCAAATGGGGGCTATTCGTGGAGTCCAAAGATATTCAGAATAGGGCACTTTTTGGGTAGATGGCTGAGTGGAAATTAATTCTTCTCTGATGGTGTGGGAAATAGAATGGGAAAAGTGATGGGAAAGGATTATCAGGATGAACCATTAGAAAGTGCAAATTGAAAAAGTCAGAAAAAAACTAGGATTAAAAAGCCCAAGGAAGTATTTCGTGCGGAGAAGTATCCCAAAAATGTTTAAAAAATTACCAATTCCCCCGAGCCCTGAATTTTGAGATTTATATGATACCTCAACAAAAAATTCGAAAATGGGCATTCATGATTTCAAACTCTCTAGAGACATTTTTGAGAATTTTTGGTTGTATGACCACTATTTCAAAAATTTTTCCCCAGTTTCGATTTTATTCAATTTCAACCTAATTTCAAGATGTGCCTGAGAATGACAGGCTTCTAAAATAACAGGCCCAAAGAACATAAAAAGAGGGGGAATTTCAGAAAATAAAAAAAGAGAAAACAAGAAGAAGAGAATGCAAACTAAAAATGGAAATAAAAAGAAAAGAAAGAAGCAAAGAAGAAGAAGAAGAAGAAGAAGAAGGTGTCAGAGGTCCTCCAAAGAAAAATCGTCGGAAATGCATGAAAAACTGCAGAGAGGCGAGGTTTTCGGCTGTGGATGGACATTTTCATATCAAACCGGGTCCACACCAGCTTTTTCTCTCTTTTCTATTTCGTGTTTCTCTTCACTTTTCAATTTGAAGAGTCAAAAAAGAGTAAAAATTTTTTGGGGTGGAGCTCCTCCGCAATGTCTTGGAATTTCTGATGAAAAATGTTGCTTTTTTTGGAGGTTTCACATTTTTTTGTGGAGAAAATCTTTGATTGCCTTTTTCAAGATAATACCGTAAACACTATATTAGAATGTCGTCCCGAACTTTTGAGGTTTAGCCAATTTATCTCAGTTCCTGTGTGGGATATCAAAAAGTGATCACCTGACAAAATAATTTTGATATTATGATAAACAATTTATTAGTTGATAACTTTCTGATATCTTGTACAAGAAATGAGATATATGGGCTTAAAAAGTTGACGATTTGGGAAGCGTTGTATTAGAGTGAGTACGGTATTCGCTACAAGCTTGAAAGATGAAGTTTTGTAATCAGGTTTTCTAATCATTTTTCTGTTGGAAAAGTAATGATTATTATCTGCAGAATATCAGGAAAAAGATAATGTAATTTCAGGAAAAAGGTACTGAATTTTAAATTGTCCACATTTTCGGTTTTATACACATAAAAAATCGCTTACATTAGTTTAATCTGTGTAAAATAGTGTTATAAGACGGGGATAATGAACTGTTAAGCTGATGATTTCAGACTATAACTGATTTTTACGAGTAATTTTTTGATTTTTTTAAAATTTTTCTATAAATACTCAATTTGAACCCAACAGTTCGTAAAGCTTCCCAAAAAGTTGTGAACAACAAAAAAGAATGAAATAGGGCAATAGAGAAATCTGTGAGCAACATTATTCCTCCTCCTACAGCAAAGAAGAAACGGAAAGCGGTAATTCAGTTGACCAGGGGGGTGTCGAGTTGAGTAGATTTTGGAGCAATGTCCTTCTTTCGACCCATGAAAGTAGGACGGGAGAGCAAAAAGTTTTTGAAACTTTCTCTCAATTTTACATGGTCCCCCCCCCTCCTCTAGTTCTCATCTACGAAAACCTCCTCAAAAATCTGCACTCTTTTTTGAAGGCACGCACAGGATACATACTTCAGTGTCCATCAAAATACGCTCCGGATGTCCTTCTGTTGAAGAGAATTGGCGTTTTGAAATGTTTGTCAAACAGAATCATGGTTAGTAAGGGGTATCAACAATCTTATTTGTTGGGAGCTGCCCAAGATTTTCCGTAATCTAATGATCTGCTGCTACTATAAATAACAGATTGAGATTACGAGTCATAGTTGTATTTCATTGTTTGAAATATTTCAGGAAAACTTTTGGAGAGAATGATAGAAAAAGATTAGGATGGCATTTTCTGAGAAAATCTTTTCAGATGTTAGAAACTGCTCAAATACTCAAAAAAGGCTTGAAAAAGAAAGTTTCAGACACTAACAATAACAACAATGAGACTTTTGTCGTGAACGTTGAGTGTTCTTTTTTGAAAACCGGAAACTAAAAGAACTGACCAAATTTGCTACTCCTCGTTCAAACCTCGATTGTGACGTCAAAAAAAGGACCTCTGAAAGTGGGAATGAAGTACCGTAAAACCTGTAATAGAAGGGCTCCTAGCTTTTTAACTTTGAGCCAATTTCTCTTGGTTCCTGTAAAAGATATAGGAAAGTTGTCAACTGAAAAATGATTAATCATAACATCATAAACATTTTATCAGTTGACACCATTTTGATATCTTGGATAGGAGCCAAGAAAAATTACCTCAAACTTGACGGCGTGGGGCCCTTCTATTACAGGTGAATCAGGACAGTACCTAACTATAACTCTCGGCTTGAGATTCAGAATAAAAGAATACACGATTATCTGCTTTTTGAGCCAAAAAAACCGAAAAAAGTTGAAGAACGAAACGAATAATTCATCAGGGTTTAAAAGAAGGCGCTTGAAAATGGCTGCCATTTCTTTTCCTTTGCGGTCATTTCATTTTGCCGCCGTTTTTGTAATTTTTTGGGAAAACAAAAAATGGGCTTCTGCAAATTTTATCTATTCGTATTTGGGAAAAAGGAGAGGTATCGTATCGATAGAAAATGATAATGAAGGGTAATCGGAGCCATTTACTGATGTCAGAGAGTATGCTTGTTTCACCGTATTGGGAAAAGTGGCTCAAGACTCACGAAATTAAAAAAAACCATTTAAAAAATGATACATAAACAATTCAGCTCAGGAATATCGTACAAGGTTTAGACCCAAACAAGGAAGCGTCTTTAAACAATATTTCAGTAGCCGAATGAAAAAGGTACCGTAAAACCTCTAATAGAACGACACCCGTAACGTCCACTTTGAGCCTATATATCTCACTTCTTTTGAAAGGTATCAAAAAGTGGTTAACTAGTAAAATGTTTATCAGGATATCAGCAACATTTTACTAGTTAGCCACTTTTTGTAAAAGGTAAATCTCCTT